TTGGTTTATGTGTGTTTATTCGGGGACCGTGTGGCATCTTCGTCTGGTCTTGCTGGCGTTGGTGTCACACTAAACGCTAGAGCTGAGGCAGCACTAATAGATTGGACCCCCATTAACACTCGGTTATGTGCTGTTAGATTAGAAAGTTCTATCAAAGTGAGAAGAAATCGGCGGGAGAAACGATGTCCCTTCGTCATCTCCACGTATGCCTCGACAAATTGCAGCTCGGATGCAATCAACGATGAGTTCCACCACCAATTATCTGTTCTTCTGCAGAAAGTGCGTTCGACAGATATTGTAGTACTAGGCGGAGACTTGAATGCTCAGGTCGGGCGTCTAGGCACAGAAGAGACTCGTTTAGGTGGTTGATGGGAACTTGTTGGTCGCAGGACAGATAACGGGGACCGTCTACTGCAACTGTGCATAGACCACAACATATTTCTGGCTAGCACTAACTTCCGGCACAGTCATCGCCGATCTGCCACATGGCGTCCTCCCTCTGCATCTCTAGCCTGGACTCAGATTGATCACATCGCGATCAGCTACCGCTGGCGTGGTTGTGTACAAGACTGCCGCTCCTTTTGGAGTACCTATCTGGACTCTGACCATGCCTTGGTCTGTGCCAATCTTACCTTACTTTTCAGTGGCCAACGAAGTGACCACCACCAACGGATTGATGTCAGCAAGTTGGTTGCAACTCCTGTTGCTAGTAAATATTGAACCGAGCTAGCTTCTAGGCTGGCTACCACTCCACCGAAAAGTATGAATGAGCATTGGTTGCAACTTCATGACGTCATGAAAATGGCGAGTAAAGTCGCATGCGGTTTCGCAAAAGGTCTCGCTTATAAGCACTGAGTTTCTTCAGGCTCCTTACAACTCATTCAAGCCCGTCGGTCTACTCTGGGTGACCGTGAGTTTGACCACAAATGGCGGTGTGGATCTGTTGCCTGGAGAAAGACTTAATGACCTTCAGTATGCGAATGATATTGTCTTACTGTGCAAAAGAGATGGAAAAGGCGGCGACTATAGGGAACACAAGACAGCTTTACAGACTAATAAAAGAAACTGGAATTAATAAGTCAAGTGTAAGTGAGATTATTTCGGAAAAAGATGATACTCTCATCTGCTCCCAGTCCAGACGTTTAGAACGATGGGCGGAACATTTTTTCAGCTGGCCTTCAGCTACTCTACAACTACCCTCCATTCCCAGACAAAGTGAATGGAACATTGAAGTAGGTCCCCCAACTCTTGCTGAAGTTGAGAAGGCTATAGTTAATCTGAAACGAGGAAGGGCAGCTGGTCCAGATGGATTGGCTCCAGAGGTCTTTAAGGATGGTGGTCCAATTTTAGCGATTAGGTTAACTAATATTTTAGCTAAGATCTGGGAATTAGACGTTATCCCATCTGACTGGTCGCAATCACTTATCGTCCCAATATATAAGAAAGGGTCAAAATCATCCTGTGACAACCACAGAGGGATTAGTTTAACAAACATAGTATCTAAAATACTGGCCTCGATAATTATCAAACGCCTAACTAAGACTCGTGAACTACAAACACGAGAGAACCAAGCTGGCTTTAGACCTGGTCGTGGCTGCATCGACCACATATTCACCATTCGTCAGGTTCTAGAACACAGGCATACCTATCGGCGTCCGACGATGGTGGTCTTTCTTGACTTAAAAGCAGCATTTGACTCTGTAGACCGCGAGACTCTGTGGCAGTGTCTGTCATTGAAAGGCGTACCTCAGAAGTACATAAACCTTGTGAAGGCTCTTTACTCGAACACTACTAGTCGAGTCAGGGCTTATGGCGAACTGTCATCTACTTTTGCCCACTTTCTCCATTTTTGTTTAACTTCATCATAGACCTATTGATGGAAATAACACTCTCGTCGACTGAATTCTCGGGTATTGATCTCCTTCCAGGAGGTCCACTTATCGACTTAGAATATGCAGATGACATAGTCCTGTTTGGTGAAGACGCTGACAAAATGCAGAGTCTTCTGGTAGCACTAAGCAACAATGCCAGAATGTTTGGGATGCGCTTCTCTCCCTCTAAATGCAAGTTGTTGCTTCAGGACTGGTCTGCGTCAACACCTGAACTAAGGATAGGGAGTGAAGTAGTCGAATGCGTTGACAACTTCACTTATCTTGGAAGTCTGATCAGCCCTAATGGGTTGGTGTCTGACGAAATCTCAGCACGGATTCGTAAAGCTCGTTTGGCTTTTGCCAACTTACGTCACCTTTGGCGAAGGCGAGATATCCGTCTATCAATAAAAGGACGAGTATACTGCGCGGCTGTTCGTTCTGTTTTAATTTACGGCAGCGAAACATGGCCATTAAGAGTAGAAGACACCCGTAAGCTACTAGTATTTGACCACAGATGCCTTAGAAATATTGCTGGCATCTGCTGGGATCACCGGGTAAGTAATAGTGAGGTTAGACGCAGGGTATTAGGGAATGATGGTAAATCAGTTGATGAGGTTATGAATCTTCATCGACTGAGATGGTTGGGCCACGTATTACGTATGCCTGAACACCGATTACCGCGACGTGCAATGCTAACCGGTGTAGGGGATGGTTGGAAGAAAGTTAGGGGCGGCCAAACCAAAACGTGGCATCAGTGCCTGAAGTCACTAACTTCTAGTCTGAGCCATGTTGGTAGATGCAGACTACTTGGTTGGGGTCCGCGTGACTTTCGTAACCAATGGTTGGAGACTCTTGGTGACATGGCTCAGAATCGATCACAATGGCGTCGGTGTATACACTCTCTGTCTTCTCTTAAACTAAGAGATTAAGATCACTTCACATCTTTCTTTCTACGAACTAATTCTTTCTTCCTATACTATATCCTTATTGCAATCTTTCTCCTATATATTACCACCTTTGACCTAACCACCACTATGAATCCGGTGTTCATCTTGCTGTGCTAATGAGGTATGGCAACCTGGGCCGATGCATACATGTGCCTGGTCCTACGTTGTAGCTGACTGACTGACTGACTGTGCGATAATGCCCAAGCCATGCAATCCGCACTTTGTCAGTTGGCAGTCAATGTCCGTAGGTATGGTATGTGCTTTGCACCTTCGAAGTGCAAAGTACTTCTACAAGACTGGCAGGATTCTAATCCTGCACTCACCCTGGATGGTGAGCAGATAGAAGTAGTCGAGAAGTTCGTGTATCTAGGTAGCTGCATAAGTGCTGGTGGTGGCGTGAGTGATGAGATCAATACACGTATAGTGAAAGCCAGAGAGGCTTATGCCAATCTGGGCCATCTTTGGCGCCTTCGTGATGTCAGTCTGGTTGTAAAAGTTCGGATCTACAACGCGTCGGTGAGAGCAGTTTTGCTCTATGCTTGTGAAACCTGGTCTCTCCGAGTTGAGGATGTTAAACGACTCTCTGTGTTTGATCATCGTTGTCTCCGAAGAATTGCTGGCATCCAGTGGCAACACCATGTTAGTAATGCAGAGGTTCGGCATCGTGTGTTCGGGCACAGAGACAATAATGCAATTGGTGTCACCATCTTGAAAGACCGACTTCGGTGGCTTGGACATGTTCTACGAATGTCGACCCAGAGAATTCCACGTCGTGTATTATTTGTCGACGCTGGGACTGGTTGGAAAAATCGGAGAGGTGGTCAGTGTATGACATGGTGTCGTGGTATGAAAGAAACCTGCAAAGGGCTGGCTTGTGTTGGTCCTTCACGACTCCCTGGCTGGGGTCTGAGAGATTGTGCGACACAGTGGCTAGAGACGTTATCAGATATGGCTCAGAATAGAAGCCAGTGGCGATCCTGCTGTGATCTTCTTTTACTTACTTCGTAAAAAGTGGTTGTAACTTCCTTAACTGAAAGAATTCCTTCTGGTCGTACCTTTCCGTTTCCCACATTATTATCATTATTATTATTATTATTATTATTATTATTATTATTATCATTATTTCACTACCATACACTAATCTGTAGTCGTTATTGTTCCTTTTTTCTTTTTCTCGTCCCATTCTCATTGTTTTGTGTGGCGCACGTATATCTGGTGCCCTCTTTTATCAATATTTATGTGTTCAAATAATTAATTAAAAATAAATGATCTCAGGTGCCAATAGAGGTATGAAGGCGATTGTCACTTTCCAGCTGCCGATACCGCAGAAGGATTTTTGCCTTAAGGGACCTGAAAATAAAGGTGAATTAGTTGTATTTTCAGCGACCTGGTAGCGTGAACGCAGAACCCAAGCGTTAACTTCTTGAGGCCGGTCACGCACGGCCTTTTTGATAATTTAGCTTCGCACTTCAAAAGATCTTAACTTTGGAGAAGGAAATCCACAAGGTAAGGTGTGACATTTTTAAGGTCGAGGTTTTCTAACCTCCGCTTTCCGTTGTGAGAAGGCAGTATCGCTGCAGATGCTGGTTGTACGGGATGAGATATAGACTGCTGATATGCCTAATTTTTTGGAATATATATATATATATATATATATATATATATATATATATATACCTGAGCGACAACTATGTTTTAAACCATCCGTTATATCAGTAGCCGTGCTTGATATAGAAAATGTGTATCGGTATCAACTGTCGGACAGCGCACGATACAACAGCATGCTCATTGTTATTGCTATTATTATTATTTTATTTATTATTGAAACTTTCTTTGATTTTGATCTCATTCATTTCATTTCTATCTCTCATACACGAAATCAACTTAGAAGGAACATATACATTGAACAATTGTCAGAAGCTTTTCCAGCTTATACGAGCTGCTGTCAGTGAGAAATCTGGTGTCAGTTAAACACACTATGGGACTACATGCAAATGCCAGCAAATAGTAGTCTTCAAAGTAGACTTCACAGTGCATTCTGGAAGAAATTTATTGGTTGGTCAGTTGCTTTAACACAACTTCAGTCAAAGAAATTATTTTGCTTACATTATCACTTAGAATGAAAAAAACTCACAAAACATCTTTGCTGCTAATAGGAATGAATAAACAGCTTGTTACCTACCGAAATAAAGGTGCACATAGAATATATACAGGTAGTATATCCGCTGCATATCGACTATTCCCTTTACCATCATTAATCAACTCAATTCCAACAGTAATTAATTCATCGGTTTCAAAATGAGATGATGTATTGTATTTGTAGTTACCCCTGCCACCCCCGTCAGTAGAAAAATCTGTCCATACAGAATTATGTTCATAGAATGGATTGATCCATCTGTCACGATATCGATTTAAATAACCCCATAAAGAGTAAGTGCCTTGTTGAACTCTACAATAAAAAAAACACTATAACCTACATCAATAATCCAGAGAGAAAAAACAAACATTTAACTGAACTGAACTGAACTTTATGAACACAGACAACTCATATTTAACTGTTTGATCAAGAATCAGATATCAATAGACACAATGCTTCGGGAATTACTCTTTACTTTATGGTTTGTTAATTCTTGCATATATTACCTATTATTCTTTTCTATTCTCCATTATTTTTTCGCGAGCTTTTGAGATTAGATTTTGCTATGTCGCGGAGAGTGCTAAATGCAGTTAGAAGGGTGTGTGGTGAATCTTTTGAGGTCATTATCAAGATGATTGTGGCAAGTGTTATCTTATGAAATAATAAACATCCACTCCATTTAAATTTTTCGCCTGGTAGAACGAGATGCCTATACACTAGAATGCATGCACACAAGCAAAGGTAATATAAACTCTACAAAGCCTTATATCTAGCGAATATACTATGTGACAAACAGTTTGTAAGAGCTGGCGTAGTCAATAACTTGTATTCTTAGACATGTACCTAATGGAAAGTTTTGTAAGAGAAACTTGTTAAAATATTGAGTGCTGATAATTCTATGTTAACGTTGTATACTAGCCACTAATAATAACAATTGTCGGAATGGGGGTATGTGGAGATTGCAGTAATTCTAATAGTTGAATTCATGAGTCGATCTAAGCCAAACCACCATTGAAAATCTGGAAGCACTGGACAGTCGTTCCGTCCTAGTATGGGACTCCTCGGTAGTGCGCATCCACGATCGCACCCGCGAGACTCGAACCCAGGACCATCGATATTGCATGTAAACACTTAGCCTTTAGACCACTGAGCCCGCATCCAACGGTGTTAACGTCTAACTTCAGTCGATCCATAACCTCGTGCACTCCATTTTCTGAGGCGGTAATTCTTCAACCAATACGGATTGAACTACACTGGTCGTGGCTCTTCACTGGAAATCCAGGAAGTCCATCTTGAAGCTAGTCATTAGTGATGATTAGTATCAGAATGAAGTCAGACATTAACACCGTTGGATGCCAGCTCAGTGGTCTAGCGGTTAGGCGCTCGCGCACGAGATCAAGTCCTGCATGAGCCCCATACTGGGACAACAGCCGTACAGTGTTTTTAGGTTTTCAATGATGGTCTAACATTGATCCATCCATGATATTAATTTGAACTCAATAATCTCCGCAACCCTATAATGATAATTTCGTAAGTAATTCAAATTTCACAGTGAACCACCTTATGTGGTTACGTTCTTAAGTAAAATGTATATAGACAATAATGAAAAAAAACATATCAAAATAAAACTATTTAAGAGAATAATTCAGTTTCACAAATCCCTACATAATACGATGTCATTAAAGAAAATGAATCATTCAGTTTAATATGTACAATTTTTAATGCGGCACTGATGTCCAAATGAAATATGTTTTTTTTTTTTGAAACACTGCCAAATTTCCATGCATCATTCATCGTTTTAAATTAGGTAAGTTTTGAGTTTATTCTTTTTATGTGTTCAACAGAATTTTTTCTCTTGTGAGAACTTTCCCATATTTTGGTAATCACTGTTCTCACGAATCGATATCATTTGAATAGTCATGGAAAACATGTGATGGAACTCTGAGTAACTGTTTCTCTCCATACAATTTTCCTTATCTATGAAGCAAGAACAATGAATGTGTGGCAGAATAGGGTGAATTTATTGATCAGTAATTTCTCTTAAATAGCTCTTACAACCTAGAAACAGTAGTAATGATTACTTAACACCGATATACATAATCTACATCATTTTACTCAAGATTCATGGAAAAGTGGCAATAAATATCAAAGAATTATAAGTGTTTCTGGGGGCTGAATATTGATGTGAATATTCTAGGAGAGAACTTCGTTCAAAAAAACATACGAATTCATGTTCCTAGCAAACGAAAATTCATTTCAAAAGTTATGTAAAAGTAACTGTAAAAAAGAATAGACTAACAGAGTAAAATGGGTAAAGCTGGGAAAAATTAATGCAAGAATGAAGAAAAAGAATTAATAACCGAGAATGTATTATCCAATGAAATATGGGGGACTGAAGTCACTGGGGTAGTGCAAAATTAACAACTGTACGCTTTTTGGATGGATAATTTTGATTCCGACCATTTTTAGTGGCAATGGTTTCTATGAAACGTTATTAACTTTGAGGTTGCTAATGTATTGATTAATTTGGAAGATAATGCAATGTTAACATCATGTTCACTATCAAGCAAGTGATGAACAATCATAATGTTGAAAACATGTTCATATTTCGATCTTAAATGATGGGAATCTACGAAATAAGTGAATTCGTACATATTTGGCTATATTTGTTGAAAGTGAGACAGTTTATTTACTAATGAAAATAGGATTTACATTTAAGTATATCATAAACTGAATGTAGTAGAACAATATTTAATCAATCAATAAATTTCAAGTATAGGGGTTGTGGAGATTATTAAGTTTACGATTGAGATCATGAACCGATTGATGTTAGACTACCTTTGGAAACCTGGAAGCACTGGACAACCGTTTCGTCCTATTGTGGGACTGCTCAGCAGTGCGCATCCATGATCCCGCTCGCGTGATGTCAACAGACATAAGTAGTATGCAACACCAATCACAAGTGGAATGCCTGGAAGCAGAAGGTTGAGAAGATCAAATTGAAGAGAACAGAAAGGGATTGTAATAACAAATAGAATGAAGGAACGACGATGTTTGTAAGAGACAATTGATGGGAGATGTGCAAACTGTGTATTTAATATATGGTTTTCATATTTTAGGAAGACATTCTGTAATATAGAAATAAACGGTAAATTGGTATTACCCACCTGACTTCTCGTTCACTACACTATTACTCCATACTTACAACTAAATGATAACTGAGTAGTGACCAACGTCAAATCCTTCTTAGTGTTAATCGAATTCTATTGATCAGAATTGTAAATGCATCCCAGTCCTACAGTTCAGTCACGACCCGAGTTCAGGGGTAATGTCGTTGACTATGAAGCTAGAAGAGACAGGATAGAATTCCCCAACCAGCATCCTTCCCCTTGAAATTACAGGTACACCATTACGACGAGTGTCGAATAGAACGAAACCTAGGTCAAACGGATTTCGTCGACTATTTCCAACCACCAACCTACATTTCATAATTTTTTACCCCATGAATGCATTCATTCTTTCTGAACTATATTCTTTATAACCACTGGTCTTTTTCACAACCATAGACAGTATCACTAATAATACGACTAGTTTATCAAGTGTTTAGTTCATTTATATCTCTTTACACTGATGCTACTATGCCAAATTGAACGGAGGCATACATCGGTGTCAGATGCTAGATAGACCATGACGACTTAATAATAAACAACTTATGAGTGGTAGTCGCTGCGTTAGACACCCAGTAATTAGGTCGCAGCTTTGGGCTCTCATCTCATCCTGCTCCAGTTTAGACTACCGGATGATAGTAGGATCACCAGCACCAGACACTTGTAGTGTGGCTTGAAGTTAAGTACAAAAATCTGTACATGGTAAATGAGTTTTAAAAATCGGAGACAAAACAACTAACTTTAAATTGACTCTTTCTTTTTCACTACATCCAATAAATGTTCCATAGACGGCTGAATAAATTTGATCATGTAAATACTTTAGTAATTTAATATTATATTCAAATTTAGTTGGGCAGATTTCTAGCAAATGTCGTAAGCAATCAAGAAATTGTGTAAATATTGGGGAGATTTCACGAGGATCAGCACCTGACACTAAACCACATCGTTCAGTGAATTTGTAACCGAATTGTATCCAGTCTTTTTCAATTAAAGCCTAATAAGATAAAGTTATACGATATATATATATATATATATATATATATATATATATATATATATATATATATATATATATATATATATATATATATATATATATATATATTAGCCTACTTACGCCTGTTACTCCTAATGGAGCATAGACCGCCGACCAGCATTCTCCAACCCACTCTCTAGCTCTATCCAATTGTTGTCCATTCTTCTCATATCCGTCTCCGTTTCTCAGTGCAATGTGTTCTTTGGTCTTCCTCTTCTCGTTTGGTTTTGAGAATTCCAAGTGAGGGCTTGCCTTGTGACGCAGCTGGGTGCTTTCCTCAATGTGTCTCATCTACTTCTAGTGCTTCTTCCTGATTTCTTCCTCCGCTGAGATCTGGTTTGTTCTCTCCCATAGTGGGTTGTTGCTGATAGTGTCTGGCCAATGGATCCAAAGTATTTTGCGTAGACAGTTATTAATAAACACTTGTATCTTCTGGATGATGGCTTTTGTAGTTCTCCAAGTTTCCGTCCCATACAGTAGAACTGTCTTGACATTTGTATTGAAAATTCTGACCTTGGTGTTGGTTGACAGTTGTTTTAACTTCCAGATGTTCTTCAGTCGTAAATATGCTGTTCTTGCTTTTCCGATCCGCACCTTCACATCTGCATCAGATCCACCGTGTTCATTAATGATGCTGCCCAGATATGTAAAGGTTTTTACATCTTCCAAATCTTCTCTGTCAAGTGTGATTCGATTGTTGCATGCTGTGTTGTATTGGAGAATCTTGCATTTCCCTTTGTGTATGTTGAGACCTACTGCTGCTACACTGGTTGGCTTCTTTTACATTCGTTGTTGCGTGTGCGATAGAAAAGCAAGATCATCTGCGAAGTCTAGGTCGCCAGCTGTCCACTGTATCCAATGCTTCCCCCTAGATGTTGACGTCTTCATAATTCAGTCGACCACTAGGAGAAAAAGAAAGGGTGATAGTAAGCAACATTACCTGGCATCGGTCTTTACTTCGAACGAGTCTGTGAGCTGTTTCTTCAATTAATAGTGGGCCAACATTGATTGGGAGGTCCCTGGGTGCTGCTTCGACGTTAGGTGGGTCCAGTGGAGCTGGTCGATTCAAAAGTTCTTTGAAGTGTTCTACCCACCTGTCGCGCTGTTCTTCGATGTTGGTGATCACTTTGCTCTCCTTGCTTTTTACTGGTCGTTCTGGTTTGTGATAATTTCCAGCGAGTTTCTTTGTGTCATGCAATCGTCTCATGTTTCCTTCTCATGCAGCCTTTTCCACCGTCATCGCTAAATCCTTCGCATATTTGCGTTTGTCGGTTCTGATGCTCCTTTTCATTTCCTTGTTTACTTCTGTGTATTCATCCTGTGCCTTGGCTTTCTCTGCTCCTGTTCGGCTGGTGTTGATTGCTGTTTTGTTCCTTATTTCTTGAATCTTATCCAGTGTATCAACAGTGATCCATTTCTTGTGGTGGTGCTTCTTGTGGCTCAGAACCTCATGACATGTTGAAGTGATTGCCTCTTTTATCCCTTTCCAGTTGCTTTCTATAGTAGTTCCCTCTCCATTGAGTAGATCATGAAAGGCATGAAATCTATTGCTGAGAGCTATCTTGAATTCGCTGAGTTTGTCAGTATCCCGAAGGAAGGCCGTATTAAACTTCGCTGATGTTGTCCGCTCCATTCTTGAGTTTCAATTTCATCTTGGCAACCAGCAAGTGATGATCTGATGCTATATTAGCTCCTTTCTTGGTTCTCACATCCTCCATTGTTCTCTTGAACTTTTTTGATGCAGATATGGTCGATTCGGTTCTGTGTAGTGTGATCCGGTGAAGTTCACGTGGTTTCGTGTATGCGTTTGTGTGGGAATATGGTGCTGCCTATGACCAGTTTATTGAAGGCACATAGATTTGCAAATCTCTCACCATTTTCGTTCCTTTCTCCCAATCCATGTCGTCCCATGAACTCTTCATATATATATATATATATATATATATATATATATATATATCACAGAGCATTGATAAATTGTCATCAGCCTTATTTAGGACTGTAAAAGTATGTATTAATAGTCATAGAAAGTGTTGAAATTTTCGTTGCAAATACAGCACGACCATGGATTCCACCTTGACACGATGACCGAGCTTGTATGTGATGATCCAACAGAGTAATATTGGCTAGGACACTTATTCCCTGAGGACCTGACCATGACAGGAAAATTGGTTTGAGGGGGGGTGAAACTAAAAGCAGCAACCTTGAGATCCACAAAGAAGTCTTACTGCCAACTGTACCGGAGTGCGACAGTATTTTCGATCAAGAAACGGTTAAGGTTGAGTTTTATTTTGCTTGACTGTTCCTGGTTTCCTATGCCATTCAATGTAAGATGTTGGGGTAGGTACTATGGTTAGAACATGCGTTACATATGCTAACCAATTGACCAATCTATGAAAATCTAGCCCCGTCGAGTGGTTACTCATAGTCCCCTAGAACCCCGCCCTGCCTTACCTACAACTCCGGATGTGACTCAACTAGCAACTTCAATACACTTAAGAGATGCTATATATATACTAGAAACTTACGTATATTAAGAAATCTTGGTATAATTATTATTGCTTTCAGTTTGATAATTTGCTATATAGTGTACGTCATTAACTCTTAAATACACTACTATAAAATTAACTGAGACAGCAAACGAATGCTTCAAACAAAAAAACTTTCCTCATCAATAAACATACTGAACATGAAAATTAACATGTTTCACGTTGCTGATGGTTCTGATGAATTACATGATATAGGACAGTTTTTTGGTGTCTTATGGATTTAACTCCCTTCTTGATATTTAAGTTATTTGTACAATACAGGTCAAACAATCTCTACGTATTTACATATCCATTTGTTTTTAACTCACTTGCAACCCTAGAAATGTTCTATAATATGGATCTAATATAATTTGAGCTAGGGCACAAACTTGAGCAGTACGATCCCATCCATCGGAACAATGTACAAGTACAGAATTTCCTTCATCTAATCGTTTTGCGACAAAATAAGCTGCTTCTAATATAGCATGTAAATGTTTCAACCAACCAGATTTATTTAAACCAGAAGTAAATTGTTCCACACTAACTGTTGGATTACAACACACTATATTGAAAAGAAATATAAGAAATGAAGGTGCTAAGTGCAAAATCGTACATTAAATACCTCATTTGCATATCATTCTTCAGTTATCCTTACAAACTCCATCATTATTCTAATGATATTGTTATCGTGATTGGTCTCTGTTTTCCCTCCTTTTCTCTTTATTTCAATCTTCTGCTGGTTAACATTCTACTTCCGATTCCGGCTAAATACTACTTATATTTGTCCGCATAAGTAGCGCACACTACACGTGTACCAGCCAAAAACAACCAATTAAAAGGATAGGGAAACATATATGACACCTCAATTACTTGTCAGACTATCTACCAGTTTATCTAGGAAACCCACCGATCAATGTTTCCTTTCATCCATACAACAATAAGAATACTAACTTTATTCGGTACATGTTTGGCGTACGCAGAATTTTTAGCACAAAATCGCAACAAATTTCTTGTTTTTTTTTTAAAAAAAATCAGTTGGATTGCAAATAATAGGGAAAAGCAGCATTCCTCAACGCCTGATAAAAACGATTTTTCTGAGTTGAAGATGTTAAACAACTCTCTATGTTAGATCATTGTTGTTTGCGAAAAGCTAATATTAAGTGGCAACACTTAGTAATACTGAGGTTTGATAGTGTATTCAGGCACAGTGACAACAACTCAAGTGATGTCACTATCTTGAAACATTGACTTCGGTGGCCTGAATGTAAAACGAGTGGCATCTCAGCGACTTTCACATCGTCCGACACTTGCCAACGATAGGACGGTATAGAAAATGTAGAGAAGTGGTCACTTTATGACATGTCACCGTGGTGCCAATGGATGCTCTATAGAACCGGATCCTGTCGACTTATTGACTACCTGGTTTGGGTCCGATAAATGGTGCAACTCAAAGGCTTATGGCGTTATTAAACATGGCTTAGAACGGAAACTAATGGCGATCATGAAGCACTTTTCTTTATACTCAAATGTGAGCACCACTACTCTAACTGAATTATCTCGTTCTTATTGTTAACCAAAGTGTTTCACTTATTATACTGTTAGTGTTAACAATTTTCTTTTTCATTGCCTTCAAATGTACTCTTTTTCCTCTACAATATTATTCATACATTGTGCGGTGCATGCTATTTTTTGATGCCCTGTTGTACCAGCTTATACGTGCATATATAAATTATCAAATATTAAAAACTCTTGAGACCTGTGGGCAACTTCTTGGTGCATGAGAGATTTGGAGAGAACGTTCATTTTGAATGCAGTTATTTATACCATAAAAATTGACTTCCTCTAAACAATCAACCAAAACTTTGGAGTGGTAGACAATCGCTTTGTTGTATTATATTTTTAAAATTTCAACCTCTCATTATCGCGCCAAAAGCACCCATTTTCACCTTTAGGTTGTATTTCGCACTTGGAAGGGTCTTAAATGTAATTGGCTCGTTTCCTCTTTCAATACGTTATTTTGTGACGCTTCCCAAGGACATTTTTATGTTGTATATATACGTTTGACTTGTGTGCCTGTTTGTTCGCGCTTTTAACTGCTTGTGCAATATACTTCTACATCGGCTGAATCTTTTTTCCCTCTAGATAGCAGGGCTGGGGTGCAGTAAATAGTTAGCTTGTCTTGTTATCGTGTTGCTGGCTTTCGTTTCGTTCGCCGGTTTAGGTGAATCTCAATCCCTTCAAACGTAGCCCCAATAGACAATTATGTGGAAGAAATTGAGTCAAAGATTACGTAATGGTTCCAAGTATACTTACATTCAGTTGGTTTTCATATTGATTCAGTGTAATTTCTGCATAATAAAACATTTACTTTAATTAATTGGTCCTATATGATTTTGCGTTCATATACATTAATACAAATGAATTTCGTGTAAAGATCGTGTGATCTAAAAAAAACTTTTATATTAAAATCAGAGACTAAACCTGGATATAAATGAATGCATTTGAATGATTAATCTCTTTTGATCTCTGTCAAAAACTTTGAATACCGTTTCTAGTAAGTGGACAGAGAGGAAAAGGACAGGAGGCAGTCTTGTTTATAGTCACTGAAGCTAGAGTTAGGAATTGGTTGCTCAGACCACAAACGTTTCAATCTCTTGGTTCATTGTATCGCCAAAATACATGTGTCGTTCTCTTTGATATTAAGTCAAATTATGTATGACGGTTAGAGAGTGGTGCTTTACACGCCTGCTCAAAGAGGGATTCGAACATTGGAATAATGTCGATATTATTCGTGAGTATGTATTATATTAATCGAGTTTTAGTTCAGTGGATGATATAACTCAACGGATTTTAATAAAATGATAGAAAAGAATGGGCGCTGATAATTCGCCAACAACCGACAACAAGCATAACTGCTACCTGCATCCAGCCCATCACCATCAGAACCATAAACCTCACAGGTTCGTGAAGGATCAGAAGACCAAAGTCATCCCTGTGACTACGAAGAATTAATTATTATTTGGGAAAAATATTACCATTCACGTGCAGTTTTAATCATTCTTAAATCACATTGAAAATTTTATTAAATAGTTTGTACTGATTATTTTAACGGAATGGATTTTTTAGTAAGGTTTGTTTTGACTACGCAGCAGCATGAATCAAAATCTGTAGTGAGAAAAATTTCCACTTCATTAGCCAACGACCTTAAACGATGATTACTATTTCGGCTACTTTCCATCATCATCAATGGGCTTCCAGCTCCTACTACGTTGCTTAAAATTGAATAATCGGACACTTTCATCACTGAAAATGGAACGAATCTGGATATCAAAATTAAGTTTTCGAAATTTTGTTTAATTACTGAGTTAAGCTATCAGTTGAAATTATTCTAATTACTTATAGTTATGTTGTAGTGATCTCATGAAAGAAAAAAAAACATGTAATACCGGTAAACGAGGTTCAGAATAGTTGGCTTTGTTTTTGTTTTAAAATGTCTTAACCTTACGTTTGAAAACATAAAGATGGCAACAAGGATTTTCATGTAGAGTTTTATAACTTGAACAAGAATTGAGCCTGATAATTAAGTCTTCACTCTATTTGCACTTGAGTGACCGATAAAGCATTCATTTAATCCAATCACTCATGTTCTGACTAACTTGTAATGATGTAGCTTATATATATATATATATATATATATATATATATATATATATATATATATATATATATATATATATATATATATATATATATATATATATAAATACAAGCCTAACGAAACTCTTCTTTGACTAAAGTTTAATACTATCACTAATATGCATCCTTCATTAAGGTGTATCGCAAACTTGGAAGAATGCAGCTTTGCATCACGTGACTTTTTGGTGAGATTGGAACAGCACGAAGGGGATAGTCAGTCAGTCAGTCAGCTACAACGTAGGACCAGGCACATGTATGCATCGGCCCAGGTTGCCATACCTCATTAGCACAGCAAGATGAACACCGGATTCATAGTGGTGGTTAGGTCAAAGGTGGTAATATATAGGAGAAAGATTGCAATAAGGATATAGTATAGGAAGAAAGAATTAGATCGTAGAAAGAAAGATGTGAAGTGATCTTAATCTCTTAGTTTAAGAGAAGACAGAGAGTGTATACACCGACGCCATTGTGATCGATTCTGAGCCATGTCACCAAGAGTCTCCAACCATTGGTTACGAAAGTCACGCGGACCCCAACCAAGTAGTCTGCATCTACCAACATGGCTCAGACAAGAAGTTAGTGACTTCAAGCACTGATGCCAAGTTTTGGTTTGGCCGCCCCTAACTTTCTTCCAACCATCCCCAACACTAGTCAGCATTGCCCGTCGCGGTAATCGGTGTTCAGGCATACGTAATACGTGGCCCAACCATCTCAGTCGATGAAGATTCACAACCTCATCAACTGATTTACCATCATTACACAATACCCTGCGTCTAACCTCACTATTACTTACCCGATAGTCCCAGCAGATGCTAGCAATATTTCTAAGGCATCTGTGGTCAAATACTAGTAACTTACGAGTGTCTTCTACTCTTAATGGCCACGTTTTGCAGCCGTAAAGTAGGAGAGAACGAACTACCGCGCAGTATACTCGTCCCTTAATTGATAGACGGATATCTCGCCTCCGCCAAAGGTGACGTAAGTTGGCAAAAGCCAAACGAGCTTTTCGAATCCGTGCTGAGATTTCGTCAGACACCAACCCATTAGGGCTGATCAGACTTCCAAGATAAGTGAAGTTGTCAACTTACAGTTATCTAACATTATGACACAACACAGGAAATATCGGCGGTGACCACAGCAACAGTTTATAGCCTAATATGATGACATATGTCAATAGTGAAACAAATGTTATTAAGTCATACAAAAACACAACATACAAGACAAGTGTTTAACAGTACACATACCTTTTAGTAATTTTTCTAACGATGAACGAACAACATGGATATTTTCAATATCAAAAATTGTATGACAGCATTACGATAAACATTTGTATCTTCATAACCTTTGCCTTGTGCACGATTAGTAAATGCATTAATTGCTGGTCGCGTATCAACAACATATAATATATTCGAATCGGGATTTGAATTACGTATAGCTTCCAAAAGTACTTGGTCTTCGGTTGATTTCGATGAAAAACCTGCTAACGGTTGACTACTTCGACACAAAGCTGACTAAATACGGTTGTATACATTCACATGAAAAAAAGTGAAAATTGAACGATCAGACTGTTGAATATAGCTTGATGGAACGGCGAACTGATTGATTAAAGTAACTTACTTGATTTTTAACTCGTATATGCAAAGTTCGAAATCCATCCAGTATACTTTGGTTTAGATAACCGGGTATTATTGCTCGGCCTAAACAAAACTAAAGTATATGGCTCAAAGCTGTGTACATCAGTTAATCAATTGAGTGTATTTTATAATTACGGGAATTTAGATTTTTGTAAAGAAATTTCATGCTTTTGGTTGATAGGGTAGAATTTATTGTACGTTCAATTTATTTATTGTGCCATATGAGTATATTAATGTAAGTACATGATAAGGAGATGGCGAATCATTCATAAAATGTAGATTCAGGGCTAGAGGCATTTCGCACTGAATGGGTGTAGAGTTAAAATCAACATAATGATTTGAATGGGTTGGTTTTTGGTATATGGCTAGATTTCGACTACCATTAGAATTCTTTTTAACTAGACAGTTTAAGAATAGTAGTTCACTATGTTCATCTTCCTTTTCGAAAGTGAATTTGATGTATCCTGAGAACGTGTTCATGTATTTGGAAAAATTTTTGAGAATCTTTTTGATAATGACAAATGTGTCATCTACATATCTGAACCCGATGCGTTCTACATAAGTTTTTCCATGAGATCTCAACTCGTGTCAAGGAACATTGAAGTTACACAAAAAGACTTTCTAATAATCCTGTAAAATTTAAAAGTTTACAAATTAAATCAGTAATAGCAGTACATGCTATTCTCAACAATCACCGAACTGATATTAAAAATACCAAAATAATTCGGAGAGGCTTTTCAACTATAAGGTGAGGCGAGTAGCCGAAGCGTTTTACATAATGCTAAATCCCTCTGCCCTCAATAGGAAAGAAGGCCCGAATATTCATCCAACCTGAACTGTTTATCTAAACAAACATATTTGAAACTATTTAATTTCCACACAATTTCAACCCCACTACTTCATATTACAAGTGCATACATTTTTCGTACTCACATTCTGAGGCACAAATTAATATAGTGACAGACCATACAAATTCACCTTGCCCACAAATTACTTGAGGTTGATATATTTCGTTGATCCGACAACGAGGTTCACATACACAACATCGAATCAGTGTAGAGCTATTTAAAAAACTATTTACGTCCATATAAATGGTCACAAGTAAGACTGCTATGGAGCCATACGATTCATAAAAAAATCGTTCAGTTGAGTAGTTTTTGGTTATTGCTATCGTCAAGTACTTAAATTATCTGGAAAAATCTTAAAAACAGGGGAACATTGGAAACCTTTACCGTCTTAATTAAAGAACCTCTAAAAAAGTAGCGGCACCAGAAGCAACGTGTACACCTACAACAACAACTACGATACACTATAAGACTTGAAACTTTGAAGAACCGCCTCTCGGTTGGGAAAAAGATATACTTAACTCAAATTTAAGGACGGAATAGTTCCACCATCAAAAATTCTATAGCACTATTTGGACTGATCACTTTTAACAAGTTAGCATCCACTATCTTGAACAGCTTAAATGAATGGCTTTAAAATATCTGATTTTATCGGATAATAAGCTTTAACGAACGATTTTTGGTTTACACCAAGTACTTTGTACAATAATTAGTGGTTATATGTAGGCTTACATAACTCTACAGGTTATCAATGAATACATGACCCGACACTAGACACAAATTCTCATGACAGAAGAGGAGGGAATAACTGTGATGAACAAAAAACATTGTTTAAAACAAAAAGAAGGAAGCACAAAAACAAACAAGACTAACTAACCTTCCCATTTGGATGTAAGTAAGTTAAGACAGGGAATCGGCCACGACTGCGAAAACGTGAACTTCCATACAAAATATTCTTTGATACCATACTTGGAACATATAATACGGGTGGATAAGTATCACATATCTGTATTGATATATCGGAACGAAGATTGGAGAAATGATAACTTACAGAAATATTTTATGGATTACAGTTATAGTATAATTGCTAACTAACTAGATCACTATGTATATGTATTCCGTTTATCATAAGCTTTCGGTTACCCTATAAACTACTGTTATATGAGCTACTACTCCTTATTTGTTGCCAATCTATTACTTACACCTACTTTTGGCTTGTTTACGTACCATTGTTGTTATTCACTTTACGGTGTGGTACTGTCCAGTGTGTTTGTATATAAACCACTCCTGTTTGAAATATAGAGAAGCTAGTTGCTGACTTTTGGACTCAACGCAGGGCATAGAGAAAAGCTTGCGAATAACGGACTGACAGAAACAGCCGCTTCGGTTGGAGGCCAAGTCAGTGACGATGAACTGTAGAGGAAATGGCTACTGTCACCTTAAGTCTGCAGGGTGGTAGACATCATATAGAGAATCACTTAAACCAGTAGGTTGCAGAGTTTAAACACCGATCCACCTGAGTTTAAGGCACCTGAATAGTAGTACAGTAGTCTTTTACATAATGTAACTCAAACACGTACAAAAAATTGTGCCTCGTAAACAAGTAACACTTAAGATACCGATTATAGATTATGACAATTTTGTCGAACCCAAACAGGACAATCTAAGGTAGATCTTAAATATTTAAATGCTCAGAATAGTAGTCCATATTATATAATATTTTAGTACTAGGCAAAGGCGTTGTTGTGTTAAACAAAAATTTAAGATTTGAAAATAAAATATTTATCAGCTTACGGGTTAGATAACAAATGTTGATCAATAGTCTAATCAAAAAACAATTGGAGTTTCTTTATTCGGTTGAATATTATATTCCTTTACTTCATTCAGCCTGATCCCAAGTATCATATGTATTTTGGTAACTTTACATGCAAGGCAAAGTAGTAAGTTGACAGTTCAATCTGTTTTATAACGGGCTAATTATATTATGTGTAATCGTTTAAAACTATATACACAAAGATGGGATCTAAATTCATGGACTGAAAGTTGATGGTTAATTGACTCAATTATTATGCTGTAAATCAATAATAGTATTATTTTCATTCCGACATCATCTCTCTCCACACAAACACACACGTGCGGAATAGATGTGATTTTTTATTCAGAAGGTAGTTGAGCGATTTTACTGGACAGAACGTATGAAATATTCGATTACAGAATCTATTCCAAATACTTTTCTGATTGATATAATGAGGAATAACTAAGCATGAGATTTATGCCCTGATTTCATTGACTCATGAATAACTTTGTATCCTACATCTGCAGTACAGAAAATTCGTAATCTCGTTTATTTTCGTTAGAATGATTTAAGATGATCAATGATTTTAATGCATGAGAGTTAATGACGCGGTACAATGTCAGTAGTGAAATAGATTTGAGAATTGTATTAAATCAGTAACAACGAATAATAAGAATTTCCTATAGCTAAATTCACTTCACGTGACCAAATTTTACACTTTGTGGTTGACTTGTATTTTGTACGTTTTTCATGTATTTAGTATGACTCACAATCATCACTTATTGTTTCATCACAAGTTTGGTTACTAAGAAACTAAGAATAATAATTCTGATAATTCTAAAACAGCAATTTTGGTTGTGAATACAGTTTCATTTCCTATGTTAACCCTAAATTTTATACAACTAACCTCAAAATTTTTGTTAACATTAGTTAGACTCCAAAAATAATTAGGTAATCCAAATCGATCATACTGAGACTTAAGTGAAAATGTTGACCAGCCTTCTTCTCGAGACCAATAACAATCCGGCGGAACAGATTGATAACACGGGAGTGCAGACACATGTGCTACATAAAATCCATTCCAAGAAACGAAAGAGATAAAAAAGAATTATAAGAACTGAACAAGTTCATATTTATAAAACAGTGCACAAAGAATAAACAAACGATCGCGAGAAATGAAGGTTTGGGATTGGATCTTGTACGTGGAGTCATCGTCAGTGAACCCAGTTGCCATGAATTCTCAAAACTAGAGTGAAACAGCCGTTTAACGAAAACCACTTATCACATATCTACTCTATTTACATTTTAATGCATACTCAGTTGCTGGGTACAGATTTCTGTATTTGGCTTCAAGTCACAGTCTAAATGTATAAAGGCTAGTGATGCTACTCAGTTGCGAAAAGCTGAAGTAGGTAGGCTAGCGTTTGAACGCGCAACTTAGCAGCAGTCAAATGTTCTAATAATTGAGCCACCACCCTAATTTCGAAAATTTAACAGAAAACTACGTAAAACCACTTGGTTTAAATAGTTGCTTCTATAAAAATCTTCCGCATTATTGTCCCACACACTGCAGAAGCTAAAGCGCAAAAAATGAGTACGAAAAAATTATCGTTGATAGTCAAATACATTCCATAGAACGAATAAAACAAATCAATGTCTAAATAGTCTTCTCTTCTGAAACATAAAGCTAAATTGCTTTGTGAACGCATAAAAAAGACGTTAAGTAAATACTGCCTGTACATTCGACTCATTTCACAATGAACATTGATTTCGCATACATCCTAATGACCTGTGGGACCTCATTATGAAAACAAATCCTACGCAATTGAAAGTAATTGAGATTTTACAACTTTATCATTTAAGAAAACGAAAATCATGAGTTATTTAATGAGAAATTAAAAAAAGACAATACCAAACTATACTAATAACTGTCATCTTATTTTAGGTAGACTGACTAATGGAAATTTCACAAGATGTGGGAACGTACATATTGTTATTAACCCTAAAAGTATTATTATTATTTCAACACATAAACAAAGGTACGAGAAGGCACCAAATAGGTATGCGCCACACAAATCATTCGATTTGTATGAAGGCTGGAATGCTGCACAAGTACCCAGACAGAAGCAGGTGGCTTTCGCAGGGGGCCACACTCAGAGCCTTTGACCTAAAGGTCTGACCCACAAGACAGTAGAGCAACGTAAGGAGATGCAGTACCATGGTAGCTGGTGACCAACAATCGGTTCATACGCCAATTGTTCCATCAGAACCCTGAAGCCCATGCTCACTGTTGGTTTGGAATCAGGGTTTTCCAATTCCCTTAGGTGAACCCTCTGTATTCATCGACTCGGTTAAAGTGCCGGGCATTCGCTTTTCGTCCTCTCAATCTCGTAAACAACACCTTTCCCACAAAAAGGCAGGGAGTTGAACTTTGAGGGAAGTGGTTGTATACACGTTGCTGTGTGAGAGCATTTGTAGAGGGAAAGCTGACTCTCCCCACTCTCGGTTGCACCAGGGCATTAGGGGCAACCCCAGGAGTATGCAATGTGCTTCCCCTAAACGATGTTTAGAACTGAATTTGACTGATCATTGTTGACATATGACTAGAGTCAGTTCAGAAATATCAACAATGAGGAAAATACAAACCTTTTCTAATAAAGATCATATTTTCACAACTTAAACAGCGAACTGATCTTAGCTAAACCAGCATTGGAAATCTGATCTTCATCAACAAACCTTGCTGGATAGAGTAAAGTATAGTCAAACTAATGGTGAGAAATGTTCTGGTTTATGAGTATAGTAGTTTGACTTAAGCCCGCAAATACCCTGGTATGGCCGAGAGCAGGGAGGACCTATTCTCCCTCTCGAAATGCTCTCACACGGCCACACGCACACAGCCTCTGCCAGGGAAGTCCTATTCACTGTTTTCTCACACCAGGGGTGACGTTTACGAAATTGAGAGGAAGGAAAGCGGATGTCCGTCGCTTTAACCGGGCCGGTGGACACGGTGAGTCCACCTTAGGGAGTTGGGAAACCCTGATTCCAAACCAACAGTGAACATGGGCTCCAGTATCCTGGGAGAACAATTGGTGTATGAACCGATTGTTGGTCACCGGCTACCATGGTACTGCATCTCCTCACGATACACCACTGCCTTATAGATAAGACCTTTAGGTCAAAGGCTCGGGATGTTGCCTCCTAAGAAAACCACCTGCTTCGGTCTGGTCACTCGGACAGTATCACAGCCCTCACATAAATAAATGACGATGTTTACTGAAAATACTATCTCGCCTCGATTTACAGTCAAACAATTCACATTATTATCATTAATTTTTACTACGTCACTTATTCGCTCTTTTTTATTCCGGCTTTGTGTATCCTTATTTTTCAACTTGTACAGTAGCTCGTCTATAGTGGAAATTCGACTCTATCTAAACGTTCTCAAGTCACTGCCTGGTTGAAAATTTTATGCTACCACCAAATACGAATACTAAAACAGCTTTTCTGAAACCACGTGCACCATTCAAACTGGCTGCCTCCAACCTTCGCACACTTATGCAGGTCGGACAACAAATAGGGCTGACTTTGTCTTTGGAAAGTCTTAATATCGATGATTGCTGTCTATCCGAGACCCGTATTCAAGACTCTGGTGAAGTACTACAAATTCGCTCTACATCTGTCGCTTCAAAATGGTTGGTTTATGTGTGTTTATTCGGGGACCGTGTGGCATCTTCGTCTGGTCTTGCTGGCGTTGGTGTCACACTAAACGCTAGAGCTGAGGCAGCACTAATAGATTGGACCCCCATTAACACTCGGTTATGTGCTGTTAGATTAGAAAGTTCTATCAAAGTGAGAAGAAATCGGCGGGAGAAACGATGTCCCTTCGTCATCTCCACGTATGCCTCGACAAATTGCAGCTCGGATGCAATCAACGATGAATTCCACCACCAATTATCTGTTCTTCTGCAGAAAGTGCGTTCGACAGATATTGTAGTACTAGGCGGAGACTTGAATGCTCAGGTCGGGCGTCTAGGCACAGAAGAGACTCGTTTAGGTGGTTGATGGGAACTTGTTGGTCGCAGGACAGATAACGGGGACCGTCTACTGCAACTGTGCATAGACCACAACATATTTCTGGCTAGCACTAACTTCCGGCACAGTCATCGCCGATCTGCCACATGGCGTCCTCCCTCTGCATCTCTAGCCTGGACTCAGATTGATCACATCGCGATCAGCTACCGCTGGCGTGGTTGTGTACAAGACTGCCGCTCCTTTTGGAGTACCTATCTGGACTCTGACCATGCCTTGGTCTGTGCCAATCTTACCTTACTTTTCAGTGGCCAACGAAGTGACCACCACCAACGGACTGATGTCAGCAAGTTGGTTGCAACTCCTGTTGCTAGTAAATATTGAACCGAGCTAGCTTCTAGGCTGGCTACCACTCCACCGAAAAGTATGAATGAGCATTGGTTGCAACTTCATGACGTCATGAAAATGGCGAGTAAAGTCGCATGCGGTTTCGCAAAAGGTCTCGCTTATAAGCACTGAGTTTCTTCAGGCTCCTTACAACTCATTCAAGCCCGTCGGTCTACTCTGGGTGACCGTGAGTTTGACCACAAATGGCGGTGTGGATCTGTTGCCTGGAGAAAGACTTAATGACCTTCAGTATGCGAATGATATTGTCTTATTGTGCGATAATGCCCAAGCCATGCAATCCGCACTTTGTCAGTTGGCAGTCAATGTCCGTAGGTATGGTATGTGCTTTGCACCTTCGAAGTGCAAAGTACTTCTACAAGACTGGCAGGATTCTAATCCTGCACTCACCCTGGATGGTGAGCAGATAGAAGTAGTCGAGAAGTTCGTGTATCTAGGTAGCTGCATAAGTGCTGGTGGTGGCGTGAGTGATGAGATCAATACACGTATAGTGAAAGCCAGAGAGGCTTATGCCAATCTGGGCCATCTTTGGCGCCTTCGTGATGTCAGTCTGGTTGTAAAAGTTCGGATCTACAACGCGTCGGTGAGAGCAGTTTTGCTCTATGCTTGTGAAACCTGGTCTCTCCGAGTTGAGGATGTTAAACGACTCTCTGTGTTTGATCATCGTTGTCTCCGAAGAATTGCTGGCATCCAGTGGCAACACCATGTTAGTAATGCAGAGGTTCGGCATCGTGTGTTCGGGCACAGAGACAATAATGCAATTGGTGTCACCATCTTGAAAGACCGACTTCGGTGGCTTGGACATGTTCTACGAATGTCGACCCAGAGAATTCCACGTCGTGTATTATTTGTCGACGCTGGGACTGGTTGGAAAAATCGGAGAGGTGGTCAGTGTATGACATGGTGTCGTGGTATGAAAGAAACCTGCAAAGGGCTGGCTTGTGTTGGTCCTTCACGACTCCCTGGCTGGGGTCTGAGAGATTGTGCGACACAGTGGCTAGAGACGTTATCAGATATGGCTCAGAATAGAAGCCAGTGGCGATCCTGCTGTGATCTTCTTTTACTTACTTCGTAAAAAGTGGTTGTAACTTCCTTAACTGAAAGAATTCCTTCTGGTCGTACCTTTCCGTTTCCCACATTATTATCATTATTATTATTATTATTATTATTATTATTATTATTATTATCATTATTTCACTACCATACACTAATCTGTAGTCGTTATTGTTCCTTTTTTCTTTTTCTCGTCCCATTCTCATTGTTTTATGTGGCGCATATATATCTGGTGCCCCCTTCTACCAATATTTGTGTTCAAATAAATAAATAATAAATAATTTGACTTAAACACAAAACAATGTTGCGCTATCATATACTAGGAAGTCAGCTTACAAGTAGGAATTGTTTCAGTATGTAAGCGGCTACGACACAACTTAAAATCCGAGATTATTAGGTTTAAAAAGGCACACGTACATATGTTTGGGTACTACTTATTGATAATCCATAAAATATTTTGTCAGTATATTGTTTGTAACATATATCTGCTTTGTACCTAAATTACAATTTAAACACACTAACGAACTTTGATGAATAAATGAGCTAACCAGCATCTTGATTAGAACCACCTGGTCGACATGTATTGATGAGTGAGAAAAAATTAGAAATATCTCACGGATGTACATTTATACTTTTATTGCTTAATTCACAACTTGTATATAAACTCGTGAGTACGCCCCGCGGGTGAACTCGAGGAAGCTCTAAGAAGTTCAGGAAGAGCCTAAGATATTCTATCCAATTATCTTTTCGAAGAATATCCCAGAACCTCTACGTGTAGCTTCCCTATCGGACAAATGCCAAAACCCCCGTATGCGGATTGAATGACCATAATGATGATTTCGTTTTTACTAAAAACCTGGGAGTTTTGCACCATATTTGACACTGTTTGGAATAGCATTCCTTTCACATGTTTTCTGTCTTATCATTTGAGACTTGGAGGGTTCTAGCGTTCGAGTCCTCAAGCTCTAGATATAACAGAACTATGTAGTAAGTATGGGGAGGCATTGAAGAGAGCTGACTTAAGTACCAGAGGAGATATGCACCATTCAGATGAGTCACAACAAGAAAGAAGAGTATGCCTAAAAGATAGTCGGTCAAATCGCATGAAGATCGGGATTTTCGCAGAACCAGGGCTATCAAAGCCGACTGAATTGTCCAGTTTATTCATGAATGGTAACTAGGGCTATCTTAGTGAGTTTATTTAGTAAAATAACTAGAGCTTTCAATAAATAATTTATAAATATTTTAATTAGGATGTATCATTCAAGTTAACTATAACAACATATTCTGTTACTTTAATTACTAAGAGATAACATCTGAGAAATGAACGATTTCACGTCCATGTTTTATTCTTGAGCTTAACACTTACCAACACGAAGTAACCGTGTCAATGTTGAATAAACATCGTGACAATCTCGTTCTTTTAATACAACCAAACGAATTACACGGAAATCTTTCCACGTATAGTCAAAGGTGCACCACCAGTAGTTAACGGTAGACGTTCAACTGAAGAAATTAGTTGATTCGGTAACTATACAAAATGAACGCAAAAAGCATATGCTGATCAAAACAAAACAGTTAAATCAGGCCAGATCAACAACTGAGGCAGAATAATGTGAATTTATTCTGTTTCACGGTTTCTCGTCAGCTAGTCACAACCAAATATGGATTAAAGTGTGACAATGGACTATGATATAAGGTGAGGCAAAGGAACTTGATGATGGAAAGGATTTGAGTTACAAAGATAATCAACAATATATATATATATATATATATATATATATATATATATATATATATATATATATATATATATATATGAGTGGACACATGTGAGGTTATTTAAATATAGAATTCAAAAACAATCCTTCCAAGTTATCAGCCGACTCTTCCATAGTAATTTAGGGACCCAAACCTGATCTATGCGTCCAGAATCAGACAGTAATCAACCTATCATTTCGTTAAATTTACAGATTTGACTTAAATTACATGCAATTATTATTTTTGCCTATTATTACTATTTTATTGGTGTCTCTTTTGCAACGCAGTGTTCGTCAAACTAGTTTTTATGTATGCCAAAATCATCCTTTCATTTGTCGGGTTTTTTTTCATCCACGTAACAGTCTAAACTCTTCGGATCTTACGTAATTATTATGCAACTCTTCAATTTTAGTTCTAAACAATCATCATTACATTGTTCTAAATCTTCTATAACTATTTTCAAGTGATTTGAATTTTACGTAGAGTGTTCACAACTATAATCACCAGACGACCCATCCTATTCTGTCTCCAGACTTCATTTAATTATTCCCTCACACCTGTTCAATTATATATATATATATATATATATATATATATATATATATATATATATATATATATAATTGACAATCTTAGTAATATATTTTTTTTTCATCAATAACAATTGTTTCACATTGTCATACCTCAATATTACACTTCAATACATATATAGTCGTAAGCAGCCGGTGAGAAACCACGAAATATGAGTCCATACTATTCTGACTTAATTGTTCTGCTGGCTTTATTCAAATTCGTAATAGGAACCAATAGCATAGAAACAGTTAAAAATGTTGTCCGAAGATACATTTCTACCAAGAATTGCTATTGAACGACATCATCAGCACAAACTTCAGAAGAACGACGAAAGCACCACGACCAAACCATCCAGCTCAGTGAAAAAAACTCCATCAAAATCCTCAAGATCCTACCATGCCAGACAGACCGGTTGAAGAACGATAAGATTGAAAGCAGAAAACCTAAGGTCCGGGGGCGAAGTCATACTGCTAACTGTACAGGGGTGTGGCGGTAGTAAAATATTTCCTTCAGACAACCAGCATAACAGCGATGCTGCCTTCCTACAAAGGAAGGGTCGACCCTAAAAATGCACACTTCGCTTTATTCCACGGATATTCGTCTCCAGGGATAAGGTTCCAACAAGTACAGCGCTAACACGAAAATTACTCACAAAAATGTCATGTGTGACTGGCCCCAAGCAGTTGTCCCTTGGGCATTGCGATAACACTCTCAGGTCACTAAGACCACCTCTAATCCAATTTCCTTTTCAGGTACCTCTAGAAGAACCCTTCTATGGTGTGCGCAACTGGGAAGTGATAACCACCCTCATACCTCTAACAGAACTCAAGACCACTGTATTCATAATCAGTTCCCCTCTTCCATTCCTATTCTTCCTCCTAATTCAACTATCAACTCCAAATTTCCTCTTTTGACTTCTTCCTCAAGTATCACCATGGCCAACGATGCTAGTGTGCGAAATATTGTCCCAAATCTGCTGCCTATGTCAAATCGACCAACAGGAATCCTGGCCAAGACCCTAAAATCTCATACGGTTGATGTATGCTGTGTCTCTGAAACATACATAGAGGATCTTAGTGTGGTCACTCACTTGACCTCACCTAGCCAAAACGAGGAGCCCACGAGATATACCCTTCTGTAAGCTGGCGACCAGACTTTATTTTATTTATTTCAAAACATAAATATTGATACAAAAGGATACCAAATACATATGCGTCACACAATTCACTTTATGCAACAACTTAAATTAAGTCAGTGATAGAAATCCAGTAGTATTTCCTGACTTGGCATTCTTAATAAAATTCTGTATTGAGCCAGTCAGTCAGCTACAACGTAAGACCAGGCACATACATGAATCGGTCCAAGTTGCCACACTTCATTAACACAACAAGATGGACACCGGATTCACAGGAGTAGTTAATTCAGAGGTGGTAATATATAAAAGAAAGATTGCAATAAGGATATAGTACAGAAAAAAAGAACTAGTTGGTAGAAAGAAATACGAGAAAAATTTTTAAGAGAAGACAAAGAGTGTATACACTTATGCCATTGTGATCGATTCTGAGCCATGTCACCCAGTCTTCAATCATTGGGTACGATAGTCGCGCAAACCCCAACCAAGTAGTCTGCATCTACCAACATGGCTCAGACTAAAAGTTAGTGACTTCAAGCACTGATGCCACGTTTTGGTTTGGCCGTCCCTAACTTTCTTCCAACCTTCCCCAACACCGGTTAGAATTGCATGTCGTGGTAATCGGTGTTCAGGCATATGTAACATGTGGCCCAACCATCTCAGTCGATGAAGATTCACAACCTCATCAACTGATTTACCATCATTCCCTAATAACCTGCGTCTAACCTCACTATTACTTACCCGATAGTCCCAGCAGATGCTAGCAATATTTCTAAGGCATCTGTGGTCAAATACTAGTAACTTACGAGTGTCTTCTACTCTTAATGGCCACGTTTTGCAGCCGTAAAGTAGGAGAGAACGAACTACCGCGCAGTATACTCGTCCCTTAATTGATAGACGAATATCTCGCCTTCGCCATAGGTGACGTAAGTTGGCAAAAGCCAAACGAGCTTTTCGAATCCGTGCTGAGATTTCGTCAGACACCAACCCATTAAGGCTGATCAGACTTCCAAGATAAGTAAAGTTGTCAACGCATTCGACTACTTCACTTTTTATCCTTAGTTTAGGTGTTGACGCAGACCAGTCCTGAAGCAGCAGCTTGCATTTAGAGGGAGAGAAGCGCATTCCAAACATTCTGGCATTGTTGCTTAGTGCTACCAAAAGACTCTGCATTTTGTCAGCGTCTTCACCAAACAGGACTATGTCATCTGCGTATTCTAAATTGATAAGTGGACCTCCTGGTAGGAGATCAATGCCCGAAAATTCAGTCGATGAGAGTATTATTTCTAACATTATGTCTATGATGAAATTGAACAAAAATGGAGATGGTGGACAGCCTTGACGGACACCACTTGAGGTTGCGAAATCAGATGACAGTTCACCATAAGCTCTGACTCAACTAGTAGTGTTCGAGTAAAGAGTCTTCACAAGGTTTATGTACTTCTGAGGTACGCCTTTCAATGACAGACACTGCCACAGGATCTCGCGGTCTACAGAGTCAAATCCTGCCTTTAAGTCAAAAAGGACCACCATCGTCGGACGCCGATAAGCATGCCTGTGTTCTAGAACCTGACGAATGGTGCATATGTGGTCGATGCAATCACCACCAGGTCTGAAGCCAGCCTGATTTTGTGTTTGCAGTTCACGAGTCTTAGTTAGGCGCCCGATATTTATTAAGGCTAGCATCTTTGATGCTATATTAGTCAAACTAATCCCTCTATGGTTATTACAGGGTGATTTTGACCCCTTCTTTTATATTGCGATAATCAGTGATTGCGACCAGTCAGATGGGATTACGTCCAATTCCCAGATTTTAGCAAAAATATTAGTCAACCTAATCGCTAAAATTAGACCACCATCCTTAAAGACCTCTGGAGCCAATCCATCTGGACCATCTGCTGTTCTTCGTTTCAGATTAACTATAGCATTTTGAACTTTGGCTAGAGTCGAAGGACCTACTTCAGTGTTCAATTCAGGCTGTTTGGGAATTGTGGGTAGTTGTAGACTAGCTGAAGGCCAGCTGAACTGCTCCTTAAAGTGTTCCGCCCATCGTTCTAAACGTATTGGTTGAGAGCAGATAAAAGTGTCGTCTTTTTCTGAAATAGTCTCACTTACACTTGGATTTTTAGTTCAGTTTCTTCTTTGAGTCTGAAGAGTTGTCTTGTGTTCCCTATAGCCGCCGCCTTGTCCATCTCTTTTGCCTTCGATGCTTACCACTGCTCACGGTCGTTTCTTAGACTTTTGCTTAACCTAGATCTGATTTGCTTTCACTCATCATCGTATTCAGAGCCTGACGGGATGAGTTTGCGAGAATCCATCAGTGCAACAGACCTTGGAGAAATCCATTGGTTCTTTGTAACGCTGTTTCCACACCTGTTCGTATATCTTTCCAAGCAACATCTGGGTCAGCCTCGTTTTCAGAACTACCTAAGTGTGACCTCAGTTGTTCCTGGAATCTACTTTGGGCTTTCTCGTCACTCAGTACAATTCTAATAGATCTTCTTGGTATGCCTTTTCTGTGTCCAGTGAGGTACAAGCAAATGCGTGCCCGTATCAGAGCATGGTCAGAGTCTAAGCATATATTCTAGAACAAGCGACAGTCTTCTATCGACTCTCTCAAACGATGACTGATGGCAATATGGTCTATTTCAGTCCATCGTTGGTTTGGTGTAGGGGGTCGCCATGTTAGACGATGTCTCTCCTTATACTTAAAATTTGTCTGCTAAAAATAAACGATTGTCTGAACACAGTTGCAGCAGAAGATCACCATTATTTGTTCGTTGTGCCGGAATACTAAAATACCCACCTAAATGCCTTTCTGTTTGGTTTAAGCTACCTACTTGGGCACTAGTCACCTGCTACGAGTACTGTGCCTAAGCGTTTAACTTTTAGAATAAGTTCAGAAAGCTTTCTGTAAAAGTCATCGTCTTTTATTGGTCCTTCTTGACTCTCTGGTTGGGGTCCGAGAGATGATGCAACACAGTGGCTAGAGACGTTATCAGATATGGCTCAGAATAGAAGCCAGTGGCGATCCTGCTGTAATCTTCTTTTACTTACTTCGTAAAAAGTGGTTGTAACTTCCTTAACTGAAAGAATTCCTTCTGGTCGTACCTTTCCGTTTCCCACATTATTATCATTATTATTATTATTATTATTATTATTATTATTATTATTATCATTATTTCACTACCATACACTAATCTGTAGTCGTTATTGTTCCTTTTTTCTTTTTCTCGTCCCATTCTCATTGTTTTATGTGGCGCATATATATCTGGTGCCCCCTTCTACCAATATTTGTGTTCAAATAAATAATAAATAAATAAGGCTGTAATCAGTGCTGGCGTAGACAGAAACAACAAGAAGGCAACGACGTGTTTCCCGATCCTTACGAGTTCTTATGGACCCGTTTAGCCGAACAGCGCATAGATGAATGTTAACGGGGACCCACTCTGATAGTGCTTGTTCCGCCTTCATGCTTAGTGCTATGCCTACACCTGCGAGTCTATGAGGACTTGCCATCGGGTTGGCAGATACACAGCGGGTGTATCTCGTCGCCTCCCGCGTCTTGCCGAGGTGAGGTCACCTGAATGAGCACACTAGGATCATGTATGCTTGTTTCGGAGACACAGCATACATCAATGGTACGAGATTCTAGAGTTCCAACGAAGGAGGCCTGATGGCCGATTTAACGTTGAAAGCTTTGTGTAGTTTGAAGCGAAGTTTCAATAAACTTGGGACAGTGTTTTGCGCACTAGAATAGTTGACTGTGGTGATACTTGAGAAGGAAGCTTAGTGGTGAAAGTCGATGTAGGAGGAATAATGGGAATTAAAGAGGGAGACTGATTATGAATACAGTGGTCTTGAGTGCTGTTAGAGGTATGGGGGTATTTATCACTTCTCGGTTGCCTACACTATGGAAGGGTTATTCCGGAAGTACCTGCAAAAAAAATTGGGTTAGGGCTGGTCTTAGTGACCTGAGGTTGGTAACACACGATTTTTTTGTGAGTATTTTTGTGTTAGTTCCGTAATTGTTGAGACCTTACCGCCGGAGACGGATATCCGTGGGATAAGGCGAGGTGTGCACTTTTAGGGTCGACCTTTTCTGACCCCACCACTCCAAGCAAGCAAGTTACGAAATTTTTCCAGTTGGATTATCTATGCCAACTCTTGATTCGAAGATGATAATGTGACTTAGGTAAATCACGTTTGCGAAAACCTAAAATTTACTCAGTCAGAAAGTCCTCCTTTCTAATTTAACGCGGCTGATAATTTCTTTTAACCTAAACATTTAACCACCATATATACTTAATGAAAGGTGAAAAATGAATAAATCCATCTAATATCAGTTTCAAATTTGGTAATGCGGTGATACCTTATGTAAGTAACAACATTTTAAACTCGCATTGATCAGTTACTCCTACGGAATAACATTTGTATGAATACATTGATTCGTTTTAACAGATTAAACACACGCAAAAAGCACATTTTATGTTTAACAATAATATATACATCAAAATACTGAATACACATGAACAAATAACAAAGACTACCCATATTTCCTGTTTTCGAGATAATCCAAGAAAAAATATGTGCGTCAGAGTTAAATGTAAGGTTCCACGAATATGTGCATTACCATCGAATTGATCTATGTAGAAAACGTCATTTACCTATAAGAAATAATACGTTTTATGATAAAAGCAGTTGCAAAGTTTGTTTACAGAAAAAGTTACTTTAATAGTCGTTATCTGTCTGGTACCATGATTAATATTTGACCAATCATAGTTTTAAGTTATTTTAACTATTGCATACATCGATCTAATAGGTACAGTATAATCGATAATAAAAAGTCAGTATGAATGGAGTGACAGAATTTCATTATAATTCCAATACAAACAAAGGTACAAGAAGGCACCAAATAGGTATGCGCCACACAAATCATTCGATTTGTATGAAGGCTGGAATGCTGCACAAGTACCCAGACAGAAGCAGGTGGCTTTCGCAGGGGGCCACACCCAGAGCCTTTGACCTAAAGGTCTGACCCACAAGACAGTAGAGCAACGTAAGGAGATGCAGTACCATGGTAGCTGGTGACCAACAATCGGTTCATACGCCAATTGTTCCATCAGAACCCTGAAGCCCATGCTCACTGTTGGTTTGGAATCAGGGTTTTCCAATTCCCTTAGGTGAACCCTCTGTATTCATCGACTCGGTTAAAGTGCCGGGCATTCGCTTTTCGTCCTCTCAATCTCGTAAACAACACCTTTCCCACAAAAAGGCAGGGAGTTGAACTTTGAGGGAAGTGGTTGTATACACGTTGCTGTGTGAGAGCATTTGTAGAGGGAAAGCTGACTTTCCCCACTCTCGGTTGCACCAGGGCATTCTGAATCGATAGCATAGTGGTTAACGACTAGGTGGGATATTTGGGAAAGTTTGAAACGAAAAGAAATCTGAAAGTCAAAGCAGGTGAAAATCACAAGTACCCTAGTATATGTTTGATACTTTTGTGTTGTGTAGAATATCTGAGAATACCATCAGCAGTGAGCAACGAAATTTATTAACCGACTTATTGAATTTATATAAATGAGTAGCTGCAACATTGTTTCAGAAATCCCGTTTACCCCCTATTAATGGTTAAATTCAGAGAAAGAATCCGTCAAGCAAACGAATCTACTCAAGCTGCCAGCTTTGGGGAAATCCCCAAAGTGAAATGGCCTTCCCCAAAGTTTGGGGAAATTTTGGGGTCTGCGTCTCAATTCCCCAAAATTTGCTATGGCGGCTTCCCCAAAATTTCCTCAAAATGGACCAAATTTTCCCCAAAGTTGGCAACTTGGGTATGAAGTCGATGAACTGGTTGACAAAAAGTACACTTTGACAAGCGCTCGTCCAACAATTTTGGTAGTTTTATCACCCAAGTCTAGGTCATCAGAGAGGAAATGTGTGATGTCGGTCCAAATCACTATAAACCCTGTGAGCAAAAAACGAATTCATGTGGCTGCAGCCACATGATCACTTTATATCACGAAAAATTAGAGTAGCACTCAAGCTGTTCTCGCAAAATACGTATTGCGCAGCATTACACAGAAATTCCCCAGAAAGTTTTGATACCCTTAAAGAAAAACCCGTGTACCTGTGTCACGGATATCTTGTCCATGCACTTATGTAACGCAACAGTTGAAGATGGTTAGTTTAATTATCAATATTATGTTATTTTGGAAAGTGCTGGACGTTAAATAGTCTGTTTTGGTCCTGATAGCTGCTATGAAGATTATACAACACAAAGGATGTTATTATGAAAGTGTATTGGTAAGAATGAGTACAGAGAAGATAGCGAGACAACCACCGCATGCCCCAGTCCATGGCATACGATTAATAGATGCGGGTTGGTTATTATTATCATTATCATTATTATTGTTATTACCACTATTACTATTCACAAACATCTTATGGTTACATAAGTGTTGTGAAGAAACCACATTGGTTTTCATCAAAAACGCAATAATACACAAGTTTCAATAATATTAGCATTATATTTGCCACATTTGAAAAAGAGAATAATAATAATAGAATAATAATAAATCAGGTTCTGTGTGATTGAGAAGAATATTGAATTGAGTTTCAAGAAGTAAAGGGAGAAAATAAGGGAATAGAAATAAAGGAAGCGCTTAATAGGAGTGTTTATGAACACAGAACAAAAATGAACGACTATGTATGTATCGTCAAATTAGTAACGAAAACAAATTAGAAAATAATTATGAAAAATTAACTTATTATTGCAGTAAGCTATGACGCTAGAATAAATGTTTGTGCAGTCATAGTTTGGAGTGATGCTATGAAAGTCTCAATTATGTGAAAAGGATAATGAAATATCAATATGTATGAGTCATTTATGCATAGTGAAGATAAAACGAGTCTGAGATGTTAATTTAAGGTGTAACACAAGTTATTGTCTTAAATAAAAACCTTGTAATATGTTTAGAAGGACAAGAAGAGATAAAAAGAATACTTAATGTTTTGAGGGACTAATAATAATATTAATAACAGTAATAATTATAAATACGAACACAAGCAGACTTCACATATTAAGATGAATAAAAATAAGAACAAAATAGACGTTGAAAGTTCAAAAGGCTACACTTTGCTTTCAGTCAATTAGAAGGATGACGGACCTTGTTTGTATAAATCGTTGTTAGACACATTGATATTCAATAGGCGACATAATCCACTTTCATAAAGAAAATCATCAAGGAGACTTCTGAACCGGGTTGTAGTATCACTGCAACGGACGTTCACTGGCAGTCTGTTCCACACGGTTGGTAGCGTGAAGATAGCACAGGTATTCAGTGTTTGACAACGCTTATAACAGCAACACCTTCTAATATAATTCGTACCCACCAAGAGAAGTCAAAAGACAGAGTCGAGGAGATCGGAAGAGCGTATTTGGCGATTACCAATATATCGGAATTCTCTGATCTAATCTGGCTAGCGATTGCGGTAGATGTTGAGCACAGCGTTACCACACGTGATCTGGTGCGGATGCATGACCGAGCGCGTTCAGCTAGATGAGTCCACTGAAACATATGGTCAGCATCCAATGTCGAAAATTTACAGGGCTATTTATTTTGGGGATTTATATACCGCCACAGATCACTCCCCTCCCAGTGGGGCAGTGACGACCCTAAGACGTGGCCAGCCAGAAGTTTAAACCCAACGAGTTTGTCGTTGGTAAACACTCTTCTAATGGCTTACTAAGTTTAGCAGCGTCTGGTCGTCTTTCCTTACTATATGGGACCGAGGTACAACATAGTAAAAAAGAAAAAGTATTATGAAAATTTCGGCTCCTCATAAACTTCATCGTTCCTTTCCAGCCGTCCTGGAAAAGAAAAAAGAAAATGTAAGTGCATGTCGAAATACACTCGTATGTGCGTAAAAACACAATGTCGGCGAAAAAAATGGAAAATAAACTCAGGCACACGTAAGAGCGTTAAAAAAATAATTTTTCTGTCTTTTTTTGTTTGTCTTTTTTTAAATAAAAATATAAATATATAAGCATATTGAAATCGTTTTTTTTTTAAATATTATAAATCGTTAAAAGAAAGGTCGAGATAATATAAAATGTCGAGTAGTGCCTTACGTGCATTAGTCGTTTAAATGTTCTGGAAATCTTACTCTTCTTCTAGAACGCGTCGTCTTAAGTTTATTTTCAGATACATTCGGAGTATCATCGCTAGTGTTGGTTGTCGGTTGAGGAATTATGAGTGAAGGAGTCGTGTTGTGAGATTGTACCGAAGGAAAGTCGACGTGAATAGGATTTCCTTCTAAATACGCTGCTTTGAGGCGATCGATGCTGATGCTATCGTTTGTCCCGTTCTTTTTGACTATATAGTACTTAGATTCACGTTGAATAACTTTGAAAGGTCCTTCGTATGCTGATTCGAATGGTCGTCGATGCGAGTCTCGATGAACGAAAACGTGTGTACTAAATCGTAAGTCAGGTTGAACGAAAACATCAGTTGATTGTGGTCGAGTGGAAGCAGGTTTAACTGAACGCATTGCGTTTGTAAGGCTGTTCGTGTAGGAGGTTAAATCCATGTTCATTGAAGAGGATGAAGGATACACGAATTCTCCTGGAAGTCGAAGTGTCGTTCTATAAACGAGTTGAGCTGCAGTGTATTCAGTGTTAGCTTTCACTGCATTGTGGATACCTAGTAAAACGAGTGGAAGAGCGTCGGTCCACTGTGAAACGTTTGCAGCTGATAGTGAAGCTTTTAGTTGTCGGAGCGTGCCCACTCCCTCACTTCTTTATTCATGCCAGGCCAGCAAAACCGTTCTGCTATAAGCTTGATGGTTGCACGGACACCTGGATGATAAAGTTTGCGCAATGTGTTGAAGACATTGCGTCGATAACGTTCCGGCACGATTGGGCGATCCCTACCTGTAGATGTGTCACACAGTAAGGTTTCCTTACCTGTTCCCATCTGTTTGATGCGTAGTTTGAGGGTTGCAGACGATAACTCGTGCTGAAGATCAGTGTCTTCTTTTTGAAGCTCGGCGAGTTTCAGAAGGTCGATCCCTTGGAAACTGTTCAAGGAAGTTATGCGAGAAAAGGCGTCTGTAATTACATTGTTTGCTACAGAGATGTGTTGAATGTCTGAAGTAAACTGCGAAATGTAGTTCAGTTGTCGAGACTCACGGGGAGAGTAATTGTCTGAAGTAGAGCTTAGAGAGAAGGTGAGTGGTTTATGGTCAGTGAAAAGAGTGAATTCACGACCTTCGATGTAGTGTTGAAAATGTCGTACAGCACAATACATAGCTAGGAGTTCCCTACCGAATGTGATGTACCTCGATTCGGTGTCTAGTAACCGTCTAGAGAAAAATGCCAGAGGTTGCCAGGAGTTGTTAACCCATTGTTGTAAGACTCCTCCGATTGCTTATTCGGATGCGTCTACTGCGATACTAATGGGTGCTTTGGTGTCCTGATGAGCAAGCATTGTTGCTTTAGCGATAAGTTCCTTAATTGTGGAGGATACTATTCATGCGGTGTCGTCCAGATTAATGGATTTCCCATTTCCACGAAGTTGACCGGTAAGAAACTTCATAGGTAATGCGCAATTCGGTATGAAACGTTTATAGAGACTTACAAGGCCGTTAAACGTTCGTAAATGCTTGATTGTGGTCAGTTCTGGGTAATCCAGAATTGCCGCCACTTTGGTCCCGAGGGGTTGAATGCCTTGAGCGGTAGTGCCTTGACTACTGCGAGGAATTATGCACGTGTGTCGTTCAGGCCGTGCTCGTGGAAGTCGGCTTCTGCGTAGCAGAACCAGGCTTCGATATTGTCGGGCCAGAAGGGCATGAGTTGGAACGAGGGTGGGGACATGGTCTTAATCTTAAATACTTTAGGAGTCTGTTCAGTCATAGGGGAATATTAAGTACGAGAATACGAGGGGAAAATATGTAAATATCCTGAGACACGGGGAAAAATATCACAATGTATAAAAACTAAAAAATAAGGCAATAATATATAAAGATCTCTAAAAGGAACAGACTCTCAGTTGCAATTAGGTGTACCAGATCACGTCGATCTCACCAATGAAGATGGCACAGGTGTTCAATGTTTGACAACGCTTATAACAGCAACACCTTCTAATATAATTCGTACCCACCAAGAGAAGTCAAAAGACAGAGTCGAGGAGATCGGAAGAGCGTATTTGGCGATTACCAATATATCGGAATTCTCTGATCTAATCTGGCTAGCGATTGCGGTAGATGTTGAGCACAGCGTTACCACACGTGATCTGGTGCGGATGCATGACCGAGCGCGTTCAGCTAGATGAGTCCACTGAAACATATGGTCAGCATCCAATGTCGAAAATTTACAGGGCTATTTATTTTGGGGATTTATTTGCCGCTACACTGTTAAACTAGACGCAGATGCATGGGAATACCTAAATGGGAGCAAAATAATAAAACATTGCGATACGGTATTAAGCCCATGTTATGCTGACCTGATCTAATATTCATGAACTCAAGGTAAGTCACAACTGCATAAATTCTTTGCTAAAAAACATGTTATTTGGTTATTTATCTATTCCACATTCCTGACTAAATTAATTACTATTTTTCCATTTAGAATGCAACAGGAGTGAGGCTTCACAGATCCTAGAGACTGTTTACGGGAGACCCAACTAACAGCAGATTGTAAAAGGGATGCTGGACGTCCATTCTAGTCTCACAAGCACTTCCAGTATTTTTTGAGTTACTTCTTCTACCCTTTCGTTTGAAAAAAACAACAAAGACTGCAGCTTAACATTACCACTGCAACTTTTAAACGGGAACTTGGTTTAAACCTTTGTTTGATATTCGATTCTTAATGAAAGTTCCTGAATAAAATTTTAAATCTGATGCTGCTTTGTTTTACCTACTTATTCGCTGCCAGAAACTTGTGATACACGAGCCTCTCAGCGCCTAGTTCATATGTAGTAAATCTAAGTGATTTAGTAAATATCTTCGTCATTTTCTTGGGAAACCTACACACTCGGGTCCTCTCGTAACTTATTCTAACCACCACGAGTTGTCACGGCAGCTGATGGACACGCGTTATATGTCCTAACCGTACCTGCGTCTAATCTCATAGCTCCCTATTCAAATGCCATA